GGATGTAAGGAAGAATTTTTTCTCTAATCAGGTCGTGGACCCGTGGAATAACCTTCCCGAGGCCATTTGTTATGTCCGAATCTGTGGAGACATTCAACCACCGACTTGATATACACATGCTACAGCACATCGTGAACTATGTGACAAATTAACCTTGAATCACACCACTGCACCATGTGAGGCATATATTTTCCTGACTGAAAACTTGTTAACATTGTTTGTAATTCTTGAGATTTTGATGTGACAAATAGGGAGTTCAAAGGTGCAAGCCTATAATTTAGATTTTCGACAAATAGGGAGTTCAAAGGCGCAAGCCTATTTTTCCCTCAAATATACTGACCGACTGACTACGGCTAAATCCACCTCAGTTAAAGGACATGAAAGTTTTTCCAGAACCAAAGTATTCTTACTATGAAACCGTAACACTTATACTGTATGGCTATTTTATTTCATGTTTTACTAGTATTGTACCTTAGAAGTCAGGTAAGAGATATCAAGTCTACAGATCCTAGTAAGCCGGGAGAGAGTTGTTTCTTTCGGAACCCAGTTTGAAGGTGCTTATGCTCATAACACTGTCACTCAGCTCGGGCTGCATCTTAAAGGATCTCTCTCGAAAACCCGGCGCTACAGCAAAATAAGATGTTAAAGGTACTGCATAATTCAAAACGCCAAGGAGGAAAAAGTCGAAAAAGGCCACAGCGTTTACGGATTTTAGTTCAGTCAACTCAAAAGCCGGTTCACGCGGAAACATTGGTACCCGTGAAGTGGATGCAAGCCTTAAGTCATTAAAGTGATGTGAGATCGCAACAGGTACCAAGTTAAGTTGCAAGTGAAATATAGCTTTATAAATAGTCCCGGAGTCGGCGTTAACAAGGGCACAAGCGTGAGGTAAACATGACCTAGATCTGCTTCATGTGTATGCTAAAAAGTTGCAAAGAAACGAGAAGTCAATCCACATATGCTAGTCATATTTAATAGGAAGGCTTATCGCAGGGGTTGAGTGAGTTAAACCCAGCACCTGCGATCTTCAGACCATGGTTACTTAGTGCAGATTAGAAGTCCATAAAGGCCAGAGTAGTAGGAAGACTTTATTGTGTAGACAAAGTAGAGGAGAATAGATGAGAGTAGATTTATTCGGGAGAGCCCGTACGCTCAGGAAATCGACCGGATCCCAAGTGACTGTTTGAGAGAACTCAGGGCAATAGACAGAGAGAGAAGAAGTTTCATTGGCTACGTCGGCCTGGAGATTTTGGGCAGAGAGGCAGCTTGCATCGGGAACGCGTGCAAGCATGCCATTCGTCGCCTGCCCAATGCGGGGACTGTGATTGGCTGATTGAAACCTCGAGAAACCGCATCGGTAAGCCTTTGAGAAAGTGCACTTCGACGCGAGCTAGTTGGGCAGGCACGATCCGCTACAGGCTCAGTCAGTACTCGTTTTATATCCTTGGTCATGACTTTTGAAATAATGTTGGAAAATGTGGGAAAGGCGCAGCTCCCACAAATCCAGGCATATGTCAAGATAAGCAACGGACAAATATCTCAAGTCAAAAGAACAATTCATTGGTCGAGTGCAGTCATTCTGTCACCCTATCTGTCCAGCCCTAGGAAACAAAGAGGTACCTAAATGCCAGCTACATGCCTACCGAATCATTGACCCGGATATCGCACTTTCTCTATCAGAAACAAGATACAGTTTTGATGCGGCAAGTCCAAATATAGATGCCGTTAGCTGTATAAGGCCTGTCCTTCGCATGGCTTCACAGTCTACAGGTCATTATTTGAGTAAAATATTATCCCTTTTTTGATTAGTTTATTTTTAGCGAATCACGCCGTCGCAAATGTGCCGCTTAGTTCGAAAAGGTGTTGGGTGGTCGTTGGTCTCGTCGCGTCGATGTATTTTGCGCGATTATTTTGGAATGTAGCTTCCGCTCGACCGGCTGTAAGTCTTGCCTGCAGTAGAAATTTTCAACGCACAGGTAACTTTACTATAAATACTTCCATTATTTAGTCAGCTGTCATGCGGAATGGTGACTACGAGCGACAGCCTCCAAAATCCCCCGACGATATGTTCGTTTTTATTATGTAAAACTCAGTGTAAATATAGAGTTCATGTCACCTTCATTTCAAAAGATAAAAAGCGAATCGAGGTTAATGGAAAGGTTGGGGACAATCTCCTATACCTCGCGCGCTTTCACAAAATCGAACTGGAAGGCGCATGCGAGGCCTCCTTGGCCTGTTCTACTTGCCACGTATATGTAAATGAAAAGTTTTTTGATCGCCTACCACCGGCGCGGGATGAAGAAGAAGACATGCTTGATCTCGCCGTTTTTCTCAAGGAAAATTCTCGTTTAGGTATGCTTACGTTTACACAGATTTGGGTCCGTTACTCAAATTTGCGTATACGAGTTATCCCCTTTATTAAGACTTCTATACCTTGGCTTTTATATTTTGATGCGTCCTCTGTCAAAAGAAAACTGAAGGCGATTTAAGATCGTAAACCGCCTTCAGTCGCCTTTAGTAGATTTCAGTCTTTAGGATTATTGATAATCTTAAGAGGGAAATCTACTAAAAGCTAAGTATCCTGGTATGTTTTCTTGTATGTGCCGGGCGACAAGAAAACGATATACGCCGCGTAAATATTTTTAGTTCGTATAACTAGGATTTAAAGTTCACAATCTACATTTCTTTAAATGCCGGCATGTTTCTTTACAGGTGTAGATACTTGCGTCGATCATTAACTGAACTCATTTTACCGCTTTCAATTTCCACAAAAGTCGAATGAATCTGTTCAGTTTTGTTAATGTAAGCGTATGTCTGTGATGATGTTGAGATGCTGTTTTGTAGAAAATTATCGTTTCTAACAGAACAACCTTAGTCGTCTTCGTCGTTGCCACTTCGAAGACTCGGCTCAAAACCAACAACCTGTTAGTTGTTTGAAAACTTAACTGCCCTAGTCTGACCAGTTCATTTTGCGACAACAACACACAAACCACGGTACTGGCGTCTTACATCCAGCTAGTAAAATTGATTGTAGAAAGTTTTCACTGCATTGCCTTCTCTTATTTTGTTTATTGACGGAAATGTCAGGTGTTTTATTAGTGTCCCTTAAGCCCTATGTACGTTACTCGGTCATTAAATAGTTCGTACGCAAAAACATGCTCTGTTTCCCTGCCCTGGGAGTGCATTCGCGTTGGGTGACTTTTAGCGATGTCATGAAGTCGGCAGAGATTGATGTCATTCAAGCATTCGTGAATCCACTTTTAATTTTCGTATTTACTATGTATCAGCTACAATCCGAGTCCGATTTCTCATGTTGGCGTCATTTGGGGTTAGGCTTCGTTAGCTTTTCGCATGTAGCTCCAGATGCTTTGGGAAAAATCTAACTTCTGACACCGCCTGCTGATGTGTTAGTTCTGGAGGTGGGACTGTTTCATAACAGTAGCTAGGTTTAATATGAGACTATTTTTCCCCATCGTCCCTTTCTTTATTATGCAGGCTGTCAAATAATACTCTCCAAAGAACTGGATGGCTTGGAAGTCGAACTACCTCCGGCAACACGCAATTTTTACGTCGATGGACACACACCAGAAGCGCATTAAGAACGACTGACGAGGACTATGCTTTTGTTATGCTATTGTATATACTCCGTCTTTCAGACAATAAACTGCCTTTCGTACTCGCCGTTTTCCTTTTAGTCGCTGTTGGGCTGCATCTCGGCTGTCTGTTTTGCTCATTAAACTCTGGGGAATACTTCGTTTTATCTGAATAGCATTGCAAGAAGTGATGCAAATTGCCTTTAGTTTGTTTCGAATATTATATTTTACAGCAGGAGTAAGAAACTCATGGGAACGACTATATTTTCTGGTCCTATGAATCGGGGTCGTCAGTTCATTTTTTATTTATTTTCCGGCTTTGCAAAGCTACACCATTGAAAGCTGAAAAGACCATCTTTAAAGTAATCTTAATTGAAGGTCTCTGGCTAGTAGCGCCTTTCTTACCTGACAGTATGCCCACGGAGTGGGCGCAGTATCCCTAAAGTGCACAGCGTCTACCACACTCTTACCTCACCCACCTGCTTCGATGACGATACGATATTCCAAGGAAGGGGGTGGGCGCGATCGCAATGGCTAACAAAGCTCAACAGCTCGTCTAAATGTGCCACGTACAACCTAGCTTTCATAATAATTATTGGGGATTCTGTTCAGATTTTACATACGTGGGTGGCATATAGGTCACATTAAGAAGGACCGATAGCGGTCTGATTTTCAGTCTTTCGGTCTTGCTAAAATACTTACCATGATAATCTACTTTTTCCATCAGTTGTTTACCTTTAGAGGGCGTTACTCTTACCGCATCGTGCTAGATTCAAGCGCATCAGGTTTATTCGAGTGATGAATGCGCTGTGGGGAGTGGCTTCTCCAGTGTGCTGTTTGAAAAAAATATGACATCAGGAGGAGGCGGTTTGGCAGATTTGAATAATACAGTTGACCCAATTGTGAAAAATTCGCGGCCTCGGTGGGAGTCGAACTCATGCCAGCAGGGAAGGCTGCCACAATTGAGCAGGTTCGACTCCCACCGACGCCGCCAATTTTTCACAATTGGATCCATCCTCTTGCCTTCGCAGAAGGACATCAAGGAACGCAATGCCATCGTCCACCTCAGTCTCAGCAGAAAATTTGAGCGGTGGGTGCGCGCTGTTTAACTTCGCGACCAAGGCGTCAGTGTCAGCGTTATAGTCTGTCAAACAGAAGATATCATCTGCATATTGACCGTAGAATGGAAGGTCATTGATGGTGTCCCTTAGACCTCGTTCTCTCGATCTTGCCCATAAAGACATTTGCAAGAAACGGTCCAAGTGGTGAGCCCATCGCCACACCATATATCTGTCTGTAAAACTGACCATTGCAGAGAAATTGGACATTTTGTGTGCATCGCGTGAGGAGATCTTTGAGGGTTTTCACGGGCATTCCTATCTGGTAGTTCGTGTCTCGAATAACTTCGCAAAGGTAGTTTATGGTTTCTGCAACGGTTAAGTTGGTAAATAGGGATAACACATCCAATGAGAGCATATTACTTGCACCAACGTTCATATTCTTTATGGCTTTAACAAACTAAAACTTGTCTTTATGGCTTCGAGGATATAGGTCACTCTCAAGTGGCTTCAACTTTTCTACCAGCCATTTGGCAATGGTAATGGTACAGTTTTAATTACCCTGGAAATGTATGGCCTGATGATGATTTGCTGAAAACACTGTGTATTTCAACTTGGCTTCTCAATAATAATTGTTTAGATTCTGTAGGGGCGGTTCAGAATTCACATATTTGAGCGGCCTATAGGCCACATTAAGAAGGACCGATTGCGCTCTGATTTTCAGTCTTCCGGTCTTGCTAAAATATTTACCACGAGAATCTACTTTTTCCACCAGTTGCTAATCTTCCAGGCCATTATTCTTTCCGCGTCGTGCTAGATTCAAGCGCATCAGGTTTATTCGAGTGATGAATGTGCTGAGGGAGTGGCTTCTTCAGTGTGTTGTTTGAAAAATACAACATCAGGGGGAGGGGGGTTGCCAGATTTGCTTAATTCAGTTGTCCCAATTGTGAAAAATTCGCGGTCTCGGTGGGGGTTGAATCCACACAGCTGGGAAAGCTTTTGCACAGCCAACGCTCTACCATTTGGTTGCTACCATTGTGCAGGTTCTACTCCCATCGAGGCCGCGAAGTTGTCACAATTGGATCAACTGAAATAAAACATCCTTCTACTTCTCCCCCGCATGCTCAAGTTCACTATCTGAACCTGTTCACTAGCTGTTGAGGGAGGTGGGTGCAATCACTGACCATCGGCGCATGCCTCATCAAAATGCACATTTTCAGTGCAAATGAAATGTCCAGATTTTTTTCTTTAATATTTTACTCGCGTGCTTGTTGCAGGAGGGAGTGCCGATGTTGCGGAAGTGTATGTGTGTGAGCAGTTAGGGCGAGGGGCTTTTTACGGAAAGTTTTCACGGAGGCGTAGAGTAGACCCGTGTGTTGTGACGGGTTTATGTCGGAACTCCATCACTGGTTTTATTGCAATGGATTCGTAAATTTTGGCCGGCTTAAGTAACAACTGTCGATGCACTGTTGTCTGATATAAAGAATGTCGACGCAAGCCAACGAAAGAAGGCATCAGTTGAGAACATATGTGTAAGTTATTGAGATGCACACAAGCCAGTATCAGGGCGACAAAATTGAACCGATTCCACATTTCGGCGAGCGATTCCGTGTGCCGGAGTCCGTCGGCCGCTTTCTCGCATTCCTTGGAGTTGCAGTCGCACACAGACCGAAGACAACTATAAGGCGTCAAATAATGAACCCAAAAGACCTACTACCACCGAAAGAAACATCTAAAGTCGTCTATAGAATCTGGGGCAGTCACGGAAAAAGCAGCTACGTCGGAGAATGTGGAAGAGCCCTCAAGATGCGGATTGCCGAACATACGGTAGAAATGTGGAGAAATGACGCCAGTTTTCAGGTTTGGGCCACACATTCAAATTTGATGAGGCCGACATCCCCGCGAGAGGCGACGATCGTGTGAGTCGCGAGTTACTTTAGTTATGGTTCACGGGCCCCCAGTCTGTAAACAAGTGCAACGACCTGTCCGATTCATTTTCGGCGCTGAGACTAAGTT